CCGAGCAGGGCTGCCCGCCGCTCCCTAGCTCGCTGGCTCGCTCTCGCCGGAGCAGCAGCAGACCGCCGCGCGATTGGAGGCGGCTCGGGCCGGGCGGCCGCCAGCTCCTCCCCGCTGCGTCCCGGACTCCGGGCGGCTCCGCGCCGGGCTCGGACCGCAGCGTTCGAGCCGCCCGCCGCGGGCCGGGCTCCGGCCACCGCGAAAAGCCAGCCTCCGGCCGCCGCCTCCCTGCGCCCCCGGCGCGGGCGGGTGCGCCACCGAGTCCTCGCCGGCGCGCGGTGAGTTGTGGCCCGCGGGGAACGGGCAGAGGGGACAGTGCCCTCCGGCCTCTGGGGCGCGAGCTGCGGCGGGGACTCCAGGGCTCGGGGAGGTGGCCTCTGACGAGCTCCCGGGCTCGGGGCTGCCCAGAGGGCCGGCGGACCGGAGCTTTCGGGGCTGGAGGGCGCGGGACCCGGGCTAGAGACAGGCAATAGGGCAGCGGCTCTTTCGCGGGCCTGGGGGAAAGTGTCTCTGTGCCTGGGGTTGCTTCGGGTTCCACCGACTGGGGGGTCGAGCCCGCTCTCAGGTGGGGGCGGCGGCATCAGAGCGCCCCCTCTGCGGAGAGGTAGGGCGGGCGGGGGCGCGGGCCGTTCTTTGCCCCGGTTCCCCGCGGTCTCCCGGCCTCGCGCGCCTCTGCTCCTTGACCCACACCAGCCCCGCGTCCCGCTCCCGTGGCCGCCCCAGCGTCGCCTTAGTCTCCGACCGACCCCGGCGCCGGAGGCTTGCTCTCGGCGGAGGCGGGATGGGACGGCACCCCAGGGTCTGGGGTCTCCCCGCGGCCCCGGGACTTCACGGTCGGGTGCTTCTCGGATATTCGGGACCGACCCTCTCCGGGACCCTGATGAACCTTTGCTTCTACGCGGCCACGGGGCGGGCAGCCGGGCCGAGTGTCCGTGTCCGTGTCCGTGTGTGTGTGTGTGTGTGTGTGTGTGTGTGTGTTTTGGGGGGGGTCCCTCCGGGGTCGGCTTCCCCCGGCGCTCAGGAGCTGAAAGCGCCCCCTCCCCGCGCGGGGGCGGGGCTGGGAGGGGGAGGCCCCGACTGCGAGAGGCTCCCCCGCACCGGGGCGGTCTGAGGCTGTTTGTGCTGAAATGGGGCGGCAGTGGCGGCGGCAGGGAGTCCTGAGCCCCGAACCTAAGAGCGCCCCCTCCCACAGGCCGCGAGGGACACCCCCGCCTTCAGACTTTCGGTCCTTTTTGGAGGAGGCTCCTTGTCTCCTTCCCCACTCCGGTCACCCTCCCTGCCCCTGGTGCGGGAGAAAGCTGCTTTGCGGGACTGAGCTGGTCTTGCTTAATGGGGTGCCCCAAGCCACGTGTCTGTTGGAGCCGTGGTTAGTCTGTCTGCCCCTCTGTCAGTCTGGCAGGAAGCCAGATGACGGTGGAAGGAGGATCCTGTGTGTGTGAACAGATGTGTGTCTGTGTGTCTGTGTGTCTGTGTGTCTGCCTCATAGTCCCTCCTCTCCTCCATTCTGGGGTGAGGTTGGGGGCTGAGGGCTGGCATGGCGGCCAGCTCTGTAAGAGTCTCCATACTGGGCACCCCATTCCCACAGCCTCCCATCCCTGGGCCAGCTCATGGTGGAAGTGAAGAATGTTCTAGCTGCCATTGCCTCTTCCCCAGGATGTGTCCTGGGTCTGCCTTGCTTTCTCCTTGGCTCCACATTGGATGCTGGGCCCTAGGCTCTGGGTGGGCACCTCTGCACCTCAGAGGCCTCAGGGCATGAGGTGGTGGGAGAACTTCCATGAAAAGGTGAGGACTTGCAGGGGCTTTTCTGATGACCTCTCCTGACGTGGCAGAGAGAATTCCCACGGAGCAGTCTGGAGGCCCCTGGGTGTGGTGATCCACTGGACAGGGCAGGGGGCTTATCTCCTCTCCTGGGCAGGCCCTGGGACTAGTGGCAAGGGCCCCCGAAGAGGCTACAGCGGGGAGTGGGGGTCAGAGCCCTTGCCCTTCTCCCTGATCCCCTAGAGGACCACTTCCTGGAGGGCCTTCCCAGCCCCTAGTGTTCTGTCCTGGGGATGGGGTGGGGAACCTTTGGGGATGGTGCCTCTGAGCTTCTGCTTAGCCCCGGATGGGCACGCCTGTCCACTTGTGAAGTTGGTGACCACTGTCTTCATCTCCCCCCAACTTTTGTCATTCTAGCCCTCAACTTTCCCTTAAATGTCAGCATCGTCACACCTGTCAGGGACAAAAACATCAAAAAGTTCTTCCCTCCTGAGGTCTTGCTCGCTTCTAGGGCTACCCATCCCCGGGGCGTTTGCTGTGAAGAGAGATTCAGAGACGAAGAAGGCAATGCTTAACCCAAAGGAATGCTCCACCGGTGGTGGATTTTCAGGAGAGAGATGTATGGGATGTTGGGGGCGGAGCATGCAGCACATCCCATAAAATAGGTCCTGAGCTGGCAGAAGGGGAGGAGGGAGCATGCCAGGAGTTGAGCTGCCTTCTTGGCCTCCGCGGTCCAGCATAGGCCGCTCCTCCCACCTCCCTCCTCTCTCCTCCCCCAACTTTCCTCTGTGTGGCTTCATTCTGTTGGAGGCTTGACATCTCCAGGAGGGAGCGCCTTGCACAGCGGCAGGCAGGCAGCTGAGGTAGGTGAGAGAGTCAGCGAGCAAGCCTGTGAATGAGCAGTGTGCTGGCCAGACGGGTCGGGGACGGGCCCAGACC